GAGAAATAGCTCTTTGAAAAAAAGCAGCTCGCAGTGACCACTGCTCTGACAAATTCCCGTGTTAACTGCCGATTCGACTATGCAAATATTGAAAAAGATACATATGAGCAGATGATCAATATACTTTCTGCAGAGCAACGTCTGCCATTTAACGGTCTGACTAGAGTGGCTGGACTCCAACACCTCTATAGGAGATTTGCCTAAGTTGGAAAATGAGTGTCCTTTTCGTAACATTGTTGGTGCTGCGTCGTCCAGCTTTAGAAATTTATTTACGAATTGATTTTGCCCATACTTGGCTTCAATCGATCAGGCGACTGTATCAAATTCTGTTTCGACTGACGCATCGCACTGACGAAATGGCAGCTTAAATTTCGAATCCCAATTACGACGGTTTGATTTGATCAGCTCGTAAGCGACGAACACATTAACATCGATTGCCGGCCGACACATAATACTCCGGCGGTCGAGCGTGAGATTACGATGATGGTGATGCGCGGTAGTACTGTTAACGAAAGGAGAGTGTACGCGGCGGACGACATTACTTTATTACACTGTCTTGGGTCATTTACTGAACGCAGTCGTGCACTTTTGATGCAAGACGTCGTCCTCTCTTTCCTGTTCTCCTTCCATCGCCATTATGATCAGTGTCTGAGAAGGAAATACGTACTGCAAGTACTGCTTCGCTCGTAGCGTCTAGACTGCAGTTGCTGCTGATGCGATTCGCTCCGATTGCTTTCGGTTTACATATGCGATTAGCTTGTTTGTAGTTCGGCAACTTTCTTCGACCCGGCTTACTCAAAGCAACGGAAGAATGCTCGATGCAAAAAAATCTTACAAACCGGTTTGAATCTGACACGAGCGACTAAAATCGAAATTTCAAGCAAACCAAACAGATTACAGCGCATTCTTTCACTCCTCAGCTTCTTGTTAACTGTTAACACAAAGCTAGACATTGCACGAGTGATCGTCCGCGAGTTTACGTGTATCACCAACCTCCACCGTCTTGCGATGTCTCTTCTCTCAGAGTTGATGCTCAGACTTCTATCGCTATAGTGAGAAATTGAATAGCGGAAACGACGATGCACTTGCAGCGAAAGTGGACTTTCACGGGCGCTCTCCAAGGACAGCAGTGATGAGATGTTTAGATGAAACCAAATTCTAACAAAAGCAGGGTCTTAGAAATGAACCGCAAGAAACGGAAACGTTCATGCTCAATATGCTGTAAAAATATGTCTATATATCCCACTGCCTCTAAGTATACAGACGATGCTGCTTCCCTGAGCGATGAATGTGCAAGGCTGAGTTAGTATCTACAACCATGTGAAAATCCTGCTTCGCCTAAATTCTTTTAAATCAGTAGTGATTAGAACTTTGGACGGAGCAGTTATCCGTTAACTGAATTGCCCTCATGGCTGCGCCATAAACTCAAGTCGACGCTCCTCCGATATTTTATGTTTTCCGCTTTTAGCTTCCACCGCTGTTCAAGTAATTTGACCGTTAGATAATCTCAATATTTTCATTGACGACCGATAAGACGTTGGTGGTCGAGCGGAGTACGGTTGATATATCCTGATGTTCACCTGTAGTCTCTTATGCGAGTCACATGTTCTGCCCATCTTCTCTTGGCATCGTGAGAGATAAGAATTACTTCTGTTAATTCAGTCCGTTGTCGAATTAGTCTGTTTGTAACGCGATCCCGGAGGGGCACCTTGTACATTTCTCACTCCATCGATCTATGCGTGATCAGTAATTTGTTCTCCTCGGCTTTAGTAGCAGATAAACATTCAGCGCCGTAACTCAAAGGCGGGTAGAATAGCGGTTTCTTTTCCACCAGCGTATACGGCTCATTGTCGAGCAGCAATATTTTAATGAGGTTAAAGCTGACATATGTCGCCTTCCTTCTGCTGATTTCATTGTCTAACAAGTTCATGCGGTCTACCTGATGGCCGAGGAATACACACAGATGATATATTCGAATTTTTCGTTATTTGCGTAGACAAAGAGCCCTCGTAGCAGTGCTCGTTTCGCATCCATCGCGTTTTGGAAAGCTTAACTTTCAGTCCGATAATGAGCGGTTCTTTCTATGACTACTGGGCCCCCTTATGGAGCTTTATCATGTCTTTTGCGAATGCAATACAGTCGTCCGCAGACAACAAGTGTGTTAGCTGTTTGCTGCTTTTCTTCGATACTAAAGCCGTTGCACCAGTTTAGCCGGTTAAAGCGACTGCAGGGACGCGGCAACAGCACTGATGAGATGGTGTCTCTTTGGCGCACTGCTCTATAGATATTCGTGCGACATCGTTCGGTGAAGAAATTGATGTCGGTTTTGCAATCATGTTGATCATGTCATTGATGTCGGTTCAGTTCCTCGATCAGGCTGACGTAAACAGGATTTTTGCCATTTTTATGCAAGGTGTTTAACACAGTCGTCAATTCAATCGAATCGGCCGCTTTCCTGTGACTGACGAAAGCAAAACAAAATTAACACAGAGATCATAAGCTGTTCGAACGTCAGAGTATGTGAATTAGCGAATGACTCTTCCAAGGCAAGATTTCACGGCGTATTGCACCGCTCATTGTTCATAGTTGTTTAGGAAAGTTGGGCTCATTTAGGCAGGCCACGACTCCACACTATTAGAGCACTTGCAGTGTTAGATGCATTTCACATCATTTTGTCCGCTAGAGCCACCTCGCGTTCATCACAAGCGATATTTCAGGTGCTGGTACTCTTTATATGCTACCTCTGCTCCCAAGCAATTGCCTGAAATCTTGTATTGAAGATGCCATTCATTATTTAACAGAGTGGCGCATGATATTTGTTGACTTCTAACTCAGCTGTTGAACCGCATATATGTGGACCGGTAGAAATCACAGCAAGTAAGCTGACTTGTTCCTGACTTATGACTAGTTCGAGACCCTTTCAAATACGCTTTGGAATTATGTGGGTGAAGACTTCGTAGACGCTACAGGAATGCAACTAATCTATAGTTCCTGACAACTAAAGAGTCGATTTTCATTAGGAGAGGAATTGCTCTAGTAGTATTCACGCCGGTGCAGTGGCTTTACTTTTCCGATTGCAACTATTCCGAAATCGAGTAATTGTTTGGCAGTTTTTTACGGGAGACTGGGGAGAGGGGGTAGCACTGGCAAATTATTGCGAAACACCCGCCACCTTCATTCGGCCCAATGGATTCCAATCCTTTGCTAAGTTTTAGCCGAGGAAAGACACCACTGGCGAGCAGCGAGTAGCATCACCGGCATCCTAATGTAATGTGCTTCATGCACTACGCCAGGCCCTCACGCAGCAAGAGAGACGGCACAGAAACATCAGTAATTTATCCGTAAAACGTTCCCATTGAAAATGTCCAGACGTTCAAATATTTTAACATCGCAATTGATAGCCTTGGCATCTGTGGGCGTGAACAGACTTTTAGCATC